GGACCTGGAGGTTATTCTATACCACCTCACATCATTGCCAGGGCAGGGGAAAAGGACTCTTTTCTGAGGAGAAAGGGTTCCTTCTGGTTGAGAAAAATGGCAGAGGCAGCAGTCCAGTGTTGTTTATTGTGAGGGCTCTGTGGTGAGCATTTTTGCATGTGAATCACTCTCTTTTTTGTATGCTTTTGTTATTAATATTTTTGTTGTTACTGTTCATTTTCTTATCTGCTGTTTCCAGTAAATTGTTCTTATCTCAACCTGTGATCTTTGCCTTTTGTGCCTCCAATGGGGGGAGAAACAGGGAGCAGCACATGGGGAGTTTTAGTGGGAGTACTAAATTGGAGAATATGAGGAAGACTGTTGAGAAGGACTGTAAATACACTCTAGTGACCTTGCAGCTGGGAATAATCCTTGATAAACCTGTGTGAACAGCAGCCAGTGATCCTCTAGCATGGACTGAGTTCAACAGTGTCTGTAGGGATAGGCTCTTTTGGAAGAATTTGTAACAGGAAGCTAGAACTTGTTTCACTTAGGAAGCCCTTTTCCATTTCCTTTCTACATTTCAGAGAAAGTTGCAGGGAGAGCTGTGAGTGAGCCCTCTGTCTGGTATGCAGGAGAGATAACATTCAAAGACAAGTACAGGGCCTCCTCAGGCTGAAGAGGGTGGGGGAGGACAGAGAGAAGATAAAAGAGCCCTGAAAGAGAGCGGAATTTGCCTTTCCCCTGAGGCCAGGTGCTGTCTTGCAGCACTGAGAGGTTTTCATAAGTTTTTAGTGTCCTTGCCTCCAAAATAAACCTTTCTGAATCCTCTCAACTGCCTTGGCATTTTTGAGGAAATACCTGCATATATTTTACTTTACAGTGCCTGTAGCTCTGCTTATGTGCCTTGGCCCAGGTGTTGCTTCAGGAATCCCCTGGTTATCAAGGTAAGGGAAATAAATTTACTCTGTGGTTTAGACATGGGTTTGTGGCAAGGGTAATAAGACAAGCAAGAAGGTGAAACAGAAGGCAATCTTTACAAGATCTAAACTTGGGTCTTATCTGTAATAGTTGAGTTAGTGCAAGCAATTTGAAGATTACCACAAGCACTCAAGAGCAGCAGTATCCTGTAAATATAGGATTTAAGGATGTTACTGAGGAGCAGAAGAGAAGGACTCTTATTTTCATGCTAATTAAAGGCAGTACTTTGTAAGAAAAATTGGGAAAGTAGCAGATTATTTTCTGTTGTCTAAGAATTAAGCTCCAGAATTATATTAATTCTCAAATCCTGCCAATGATAAGTCAGTCACAGATGTTATAGAAAAGGTTCCTATAATGCCCTCCAATCCATTCCAATAATAGACATATTCTAGCTTTCATTCCAACCTGATTTTAAAAAATCATAATTAACGTGGACAAAAAGGGAGGATCTTTTTTTAAAAGCTGTATTTTATGTTTAAGGTCAGCAAATACCTAATTATCAGTAAAAATTATCTCAGATCTTGGATGACCCATTAAGATCTGTTGTAAGAGACATGGATAGCATTTGCATTCAGATGTGAGGTAACTAGGGACTTTAGCACTCACCTTTCACAGAAATCTCATCATAATGGATTATTACTTAACCAGGTGCTTGAGCACCTGTGCCTTTTTCCAGAAAACTTCACAAAGATCTTGGGAGTTTTACTATTGTGCATAATCAGACATGCTGCAATCTGAGCTGTGCAATGCTTCTGAAGAACCAGGACTCAAACCAGCAAGACACCACCTATTCCCAAGCACTGACAATCATTTCCTGGTAGGAACCCAATTCCTATCTATGTCTAGATGCAGAGCTCTGGATGTCTGAGTAGTAGGCTTGCTAAAGCAGAGAATCGTCCTATGTTTTGTAAAATAACAAGAACAAATATTGACATGGAAGGGACATACACTGTGATGTTGAAAAGGTACTTAAAAAACGGTATACAGAAGCTGAAAATAAGTTAAGCCAAGATAAAGCGACCCTGTTTAATTGCCAATTAACTCTTTTAGTCTCATACAAGCCAGTGAAAAATATAGCTAGTGCAAAAGCACAGGTCTCCCAGTTTCAAAGTCAATTGGCCAAGTAGCTGCTTAGGGCCCCAGTTACTGTATGCAATGATTTGACAACAGAGCTATATACTCTTCATACTCTATGAAACCATGAAATGGTAGCACACTCCACAGTAAGTCGTGTTGGAGAAAACACTGATTTCTCTAATATCACATAGTACATTATTTTAACTTTTTGTACAGACAAGTCAAGGCTAGCAGACAATTGGAAATGAACAGGCACAAAAAGTAGGTAGTGAAAGAACACAAAGATTATTTTACCAACACTTCACTGTAAAAATTTGACCATTTAAAAATTATTCTTCAGTTTTCAAAACTCACAGAAGATTTCATTACATGTCCTGTTACAAGAATAGCTTTGAGATTATCTATGGATCCAAGACTATAGCATACTGTTTACAGAATAAGTAATTTAAAAGCATTTTAAAAACCCAAACTCTGAAACTCTGTCAATATTACCTATTCTGGTTTTTACTATGAAAGACACTATGAAAGGGGGGGAAATGCCATTTCTCAACAAGCTGAGACTCAACTTAGTTAACAGTCTCAAAAAGAACTTTACAGACTTCAGTTTCAAAACTGAGCAGCAAACTTGGACAAGGATAACTGTGAGACTGGATTATTTATTTATTTTTAAAATACTTTCTGTCAAGTTAAACAGACACGTGTAGCAAAAGATAGATCTATCTCACCTGTACTGAGATTGATGACATTAATACTTCTACTGCAGCTCTGTGTAGATGCAAGAGACCAAGTATGTTGACTAAAGATCTATTTCTTAAGGATTTTTTAAAAAATCAAACTTCTGCAATTGTTTGTGCAATACTGACAAATTTTGTGTTTCTCAATATTAGCAATACAAAAATATATTTATGAACTATGACAGAACATACTGAAAACATTTACACAAAAATCAATGTGTTCCTGTTGAAGAATGCTATATTCAGTGTGGTCTGCACAAAAATATGGGTATATCACTCAACAGTGACTACTGATGCAACAGGCATGAGGGAGAACTATAACTCAAATTTTAACAGTCCAGTACATCTTGGTCTAGAAATAGTCTGAAATCCATGGACAATTGCATTTAGATACTAATACAAAATAATTACTGAAATAAGACCTCTGCTCTGAGCATTAGCAAATGTCTGACAACCATAGATTCACAGAGCTGGCTCTGGCCCTGGCTTGGATGCGCTCGCTCACTCTTAGAGAACAGAGACCTTATCACTAACGCATACCTACATTGCTGTTTTTGACCACCTTGTTAAAAGACAGTCTACAAAGGAATGCTATATTGCAATATCCCAGTGTATATTGTCTAAAGAGTCTTCAAAATATTTGCAAGTTTTGTCTTCTTGACCTTAACATGCCAAGATACTACTTAAGAGTCATGACACCAACTTTACATCCTTTCTCCAAATATTTTTTATAGTCCTTCAGTATTTAGAATTATTTCCACTCCCTCTACAGGGACTGTTCATTAAGAAGATACCATGCTAAGATGCTAGCAGTACTGGAGTTTATGAAATGGAGAAATTAAGGAATTTTTTTTTGTAAGTCAGGTTTTTGTTTTCAGAAGTGCTTGATTTAATTTGGTAAAATGTACAAAGTTTGTTCCTCTTCAGCAGTTTTCTGTATTTGTAATATGATACACTTAACTGACATATCTACAAACACAATACTGATTCTAAATAAATTACATGTTTTCCATTATTTGAATTTTAAAAAGCTACATAATTCTGTATCTGCTTAGCAATTTTAAGAATATATCCCCCAAACATTATAACATCATTTTAGCCTTTTGGCAGGTTTTTGAAACACTATCACTTTCTTGACTATGTAGACAGCTGCAAGTTTGGGCTTATTTTGTTTTTTTGGGGTTTTTTTCCCCAAATGTAAGGGAAAACAACAGGAAAATAAAAGCTAGCCTAAGAAGTCATTCCTTCCTATATCTTGTACAGTAAGCCCCAGTGTCTAGGGCAGAGCCAAGGATGCAGCTGTTATCACCCTACATGGAAGGAAGTTAATAAATTGGAGAATTCTGTGTCCTTGACAGCTTGAGGAAAGAGACTTTTAACTTCGACATTGCTATATCAATTTCACATTCAAATTCCTGAATGACCAAAATACAAAGGATATGAGTTATAACTTTGAACTATGTCATAGTCTTAGAAAACCAGCATTTTGTTAATGCATTAGAAGTCTGCCTCCACCTTGCAGTTAGTCAAATCATACTGGATTTCTGTTTCTTTTGAACATGGATGTTTCCATTCTATTAAGAGGTTATCAGGCAAGCACAAGGTTTATTTTTTCATCTCACTATGCAAATTACTAAGAATATAACTGTGGAAAGTTTTTACAGGTATCTATATCACTTTTGTAGATACTAAATTAGATGTGATCATGTTGATTTTATTCTTTCTAATTAAACCCTCAAGGGGATATCCCAATTCACTTGGGGGACCTGCTGTAAAGTAGGTTTCTTTAGAGCCTTCTTCATGTTATCGGGAAATTCACACCTTGTTTTACATCCTCTGAAGACTCCAGAAGAGTTAAAAACGAGCCTTCATTGCTCTTAAGTTTCACCTTATCACACTGAGCTTAAATCAGTCGTTTTCAGGACTGACCACCCCTAAAAGACATAAGGAAGGTCCTCACGGTGGGGACCTGAAAGCCAAGGTGGCTCTTCCAGCGATCCGATGTAGCTACGGCAGAGGCAAACCTCTGCAGATCACGATGCGCCCCGTTTTTCTTTCATCAGGTCATCGATCGCAGCAGTATTCCTGCTCCTTATTCACCGAGCCAGTAAAGCCACTCGCTTCCATGCACATTCAGCAGCGCCCGCTGAAGCAGCAACAGCTCTCGAGGGCATCCACTGCCACTCCCCCGCTTCGGCACCGCCCCGGTGTCCCCCGCGACATCCTTACCCCATGGCGGCCTGCAGCGCCGGACACTGGCGGTGCCACGTCCTTGGGGCGCTCCTCGCCGCAACGGTAACTCCGTCTCCCCGTGGCGGCTGCAGTCCTCTGGTCGCTGCGCCGCAGGCTCTTAGCTGCCGGGCCGAGCGGAGCCGCCTGCGCGCTAGGGAGCACCCGCCACGGGCCAGGCTCTCATGGCTGTCGGTCTCTCCGAGAGCCCGTAGGCAGCGGCTGCGGTCCTCGGGCGGGCAGCAGCCGCGGCTCCGAGGGCAGACGGTCCCCTCCTGCGGACGGACGGGGAGACGCTCGCCTTCTCCTCGAGGGGCTGAAGGCGGCTGCGGCGCTTCTCGCCAGGAGGTGAGTGGTCGCCGACGGCTCCGTGCGACTCAGAGGCAGAGCAGGATGGGGCGGGCTGTTCGTGCAGGGTTCCAAGCCGCCGCTCCCCTTAGCATCCCAGCCAGCAGCGTGGCGGGCACCAACGCATTCTCCCGAAGAGACAGAGAGAGCCACAGCACCAGCGCTGACATCAGGCTCCCAACGTGCGGCGGAGAGTGGCGGCCACCGTGCTCCCCCGATCCGCCCACCTCCGGCAGTAGAGATGCGGAGCCCTGCTCCGCCTTCCCGCGGCAGCAGGCCCGCTCCTCGCCGTCACGCCTTCTGCGGCGAGCGGGCGGGCATTGTCCTGGGGCGCAGTGGGTCGGTCACTGCCAGTGGGAGGGGCCACCCAGCCCCCGTTCCTCTGCGGCGGAGCCCTGGGTTCAGCCCCACCGGTGGGACGAAGGGAAGGAGTCAGCGAGCTCCGTGTCAGGTGGTGCCCGCCTGCTCCAGCGCCTTCGAGCCGCTGCCGCTACCTCTGCCTCTTCCCACTCGCATCCGCCGCCTCACGCCTCCGCCTGCCTGTACCCTCGTGATGGGTAGGGGCAGTCGCCACGCCCGTAGCCCACGACTGCGTCCCGCTACCCCAAAGGGAAGGCCAGGGCGCAACAGTCCGCCGCCACAAGCAGCCAGCTCACGACAGCATCTGCTCACTCTGTCTCCATCGTCCACCTGGGGAGCTTAAACTAGCATATCTCACTGCACTCCCCTACGCACTGACGTCAAGCACCGCTCCCAGTGCTGACGTTACCGGAGTGCGGGGGATGATGTCAGAGTGGTCTACGCCGCCGGAAGAGCTTCTATAATAGAGAATGGCGGCGGAGGGCAGGGCTCGGAAGCCACCCCGGCATGGCTGCCTCCGTGCCACCTCTCCGGAGTGCCGGCGGCACCCGGACCGCCTCCTCTCGCCCCCTGCAGAGCCGTCTCTACGGCAACGCCGCGTGTTTCCGATGCTGGGCCCCACGCCCGCCCCGGGTGCCGCGGAAGCAGCGATGCGTCCTGTGGATCAGCAGAAGGAGTCGGGTGTGAGCTCCTGCGCCCAAGAGCCACGTGTGAAGATGGCGTGGCTGTGGGAACTTTCTAGCCCTCTGCCATCGGCGTGGGAATGGCAGGGTGCTTGACTCCAAAGACGGTTCCGTGTCTGAAACACATGCCTGCATATCCCTGCTTTGCAAACGCTTCAAACCCGACAGCATTACTGGCTAATCAAGAAAGAAACAGTAGATTCCAGCACATCCATGCTAGTAGTATTTCAAAGAAACAGCCAGCACCATGAGCTTGACAGATCCTACTATTTTTGTGTCACTCCTTTAATGGGACCATGCAAACAGATAGCATGTGTTACTGCTTCTAATTCAACAGAGTACTCCGAGCTCCAGCACTATCTACTACCTTGCTGGTCACTTATCTCATCTTAGGTTCAGCAAATATTTCCATTAATTCTCCACGTTTTCATGAATTTATAAATATTAGGTGTTATAGTCAAATGACCAGATATAAATTTTTTTTTTTAAAATATATTGTAGAAATTTATTGAAGGCAAATAAGCAAAACAGCGCGCTGGAAGACCCGGGGAAACTCCTGTTCCACCAACGGTCTTCCCGCCAAAAAACGTGTAATGATCTTTTATATGTGCCACTATTCCCTCCCCTTTAGGCGGCACCTGGATGCCGGGTGGCAGGTCCCAGATGGAGGTAGTCCTCAGATGGCAGCGGCTGCTCTCGAAGCGGGGCGAGTGGCTCCTCGCTCGGACCGGCTCCTCCCTCGGGCAGCTTGCTGCCACGGCTGCTCTGCCACTTCTCGCTCGGCTGCAACAGGCTGTGCCGGGGGCTGTGCCGCTCGGCTATGCCCCTTTTATCCATATCTTTATAATAATGGCCAGTCTTCGTGAGCAAAGATCCGGGGAAGGTCTTTACACCTTCCAGCCTGCGCATTGGATTTTTTAGGTGAGACACAGTGTGCGCGGAACTGAGCCCACCCTTTAATCCTAAGGTTCATCTGCCGGGGCCAAGCGAGCTTGGACGGTGGCAGCGAGGTCCTCAGGACGTAGATGGGTTGCCTTTAAGGCTAACGAGCTCCATCTGGCCCGGGGAGTGGCCCAGACCGGGAATCGAACCCGGGTCTCAGTGGTGACAGCGCCGCGCCCTTACCACTAGACCACCAGGGGCTCCAACATTGTGGTTTGACATTTGTAATTCAAACTAACCACTAACACTAACATTGCAAAGATAATTTGATTAGCAAATTATTTATCTTTGCCTTTATTAACTATTTCAATTCCCCCCTTCTTCTATTTATCAGTAATTTGCTTATCAAATTTTATTATAACTTTTCAGACTACATATAAGATAATTAACAACATTACTGGGGCCTGTTATAGCAGTAACTGAGGGAATTGATTTTTAGAAGCAACAATTTTATTTTTTTTTTTAATACAATACATAATTCTTATCATTGTAACTGAAAAACCAGGGGGGGTCCTGCTGACATAGAACTTTAATACCTGGAACTTTATTTACTTCGTAAACAGTAATCTAATTTTCAGTCTTATTGTGGTGGTATAGGTTATTGGTAAGTTTGTTTTCGCAGAGTTAGCTGTCTCCACAATTGTACCTCTCTGCCTCCTTCGTCTACTCCTTTGCAGGGAGCAACGAGGTATTAGCTCTTCTCGGCAGCAGTGGTATTCTTCAGGAGTTCTGCTTTTATGCTCACTTAGCCTTTTCACCGTGGTTTTAGAATCATGTTATTTATTTAGAATCTTGTTTCAGGTTTTACTTTATCAATTAATTACTTTATTTTGGGGTTCACTCCCAAGCAATTTTGGCAGCACGCTGTTTTATAATGTTATGTCAGTTTTCCTTGTGTATTTCCTAGGTTTCAGGTATTAATAATTCTCATCTGCAGAGTAATTTATAAATTTTCACACTAGTTCTTCTTACAACTAAGTGATGATTTCTACAGTCCATACAATGAGTATGACGTAAAGTTGAAGTACAATACCATTTCTTATCATACTGTATGCATTTACAAGTCACCCACCTCACATGCCCGAAGTGGGATGCTTTATGCAAGGTATACCCTGAAGTTTCCTCCAAGGTTCAGGTATTTCAGTTGTTAATTTATATATTCCAACTTCTCTCGTCTGATAGGGTATCCGTTCATTATTACACCAGAATGCCATATTTACTCTTTAAAGAGTGTCCCCAGGGGTATTTGGAACCACTGGTATAAGTCAGTTTTTACTTTCTCCTAGTAAGGATTCATTTACCAGTCCTGTTCTTCTGATTTTCATTTGAAGATCTCCTGGTTTGGATGTTATAATCCACTTTGGGGAAGATAATTCTACCGGTCCTTTAACTCTTGATGCATGAGTCCAGCCTTTTTCAGCAGTATGAATTGCTGTATCTGTGGTAAGAAGAACAACAAAGGGCCCTTCCCAACAAGGGGTTAATGAGGATTCTTTCCAGGTCTTTATTAATACCTGATCTCCAGGTTGAATTCTATGTATTGCTATATCTAAAGGAGGTCTCTGAGCTACTAATCCTTTTTTTCTTAACTCCTGTCTTCTCTTCATTAATTCAATTATATATTCTCTTAGAAAAGTATCCTCTATTTTTGGATGTTCTAAAGGGTTACCATATCATTTCGAATGGTGAGATTCCTGTATCAGTACGCGGTTGGGTCCGAATATGCAATAGAGCTAATGGTAAACATTTTACCCAACTCATTTTAGTTTCCATCATCAATTTAGTTAAGTGTTTTTTAAGTTCTCCATTCATCCTTTCAACTTTACCAGAACTTTGCGGATGCCAAGGTGTATGATATTCCCACTTAGTTCCAAAAAGCTCCATTGTTTCTTTAATTATTCTTGAGGTAAAATGTGGTCCCCTATCTGAATCTATGATAGTTACAATACCATATCTCGGAATTATTTCTTCTAATAAGATCTTAATTACTGTTTTGGCCGTACATCGTGCTACAGGAAAAGCTTCTACAAAATGAGTAAGATGGTCTACTAATACTAATAAGTAACGATACCTCCCTACTTTGGGTAATTCAGTAAAGTCTGCTTGTATTTTCTCAAAGGGTCTTTTAGCTATCTCTCGGCCTCCTTGAATCCTCTCTCTCAGTTGCCTTTTGTTCACTTTTTGGCAAGTTAGGCATCCCTCTAGAATTCTTTTTGCAATTCCATATGCCCCAACACAAACATATTTATTTTCGAATTGATCTATTAAAGCTTGTGTTCCCCAATGTGTTTGTTCATGTAATTTAGCCATAATCCTTTGAGCAAGGCCCTTAGGGAGTATTTCTCGACCATCTGATAACATCCATTTATTATTTTCTTCTTTCGCCCCTACTTGTTGTAATTTTTCTTTTTCTTGGTTGCTAAAGCTTTTAGGGAGATTTAAATTTTCGGGGTTTGAGTTATTTAATACTAATAAAGCTGCTCTTTTTGCTTCTTCATCTGCTAGGTTATTTCCCCTAACTGTGGCTTTGAATCCTTTTTGGTGACCTTTTACATGTACTACAGCAACTTTTTCCGGCTTCCTCAAAGCTTTTAATGTTTCTTTTATTAGAGTCTCATGAATTAATCCCTTTCCCTGTGTATTAATTAGTCCCCGTTCTTCCCAAATTTTTCCAAAGGTATGTACTATTCCAAAGACATATTTGGAGTCTGTAAATATCGTTCCCACCTTTCCCTCTAACTGGTGTAAGGCCCTTAACAAAGCATATAATTCACAAGCCTGGGCTGACCATGTTTTATCAAGAGGTCCAGATTCTCTTACTCGAAATGTAATCCCATCTATCACAGCATACCCTGATTTTCGATGTCCATCTACGACTCTTGAGGAACCATCTATGTATAATTTTTCGCCTTCCTCTAGTTCTTCTTCCTCTAGGTCTTCCCTAATCTTAGCCTGGAGATCGATTACTTGCAAACAATCATGTACTAGTTCTCTTTCAGGTTCTCCATATAAGAATTGGGCCGGATTTTGCAAATTCGTCATTTCCAATTCTAACTTAGGTGAGTGTAGTAGTATACTTTCATATTTTAGCAAGCGACTATCTGTTACCCATTTATCAGCTTTTTGTTGCAAGATTCCCCTTATATTGTGAGGGGTGAAAACCTTCAACTCCCCTCCAAAGGTTACCTTTCTGGCTTCCTCTACTAATAAAGATGTTGCTACAATAGCTTGAAGACAGGTAGGCCATCCTCGACTTACTGGATCTAGTAGTTTAGAATAGTACCCCACTGGCTTCTTTTGTCCTGCCCATGTTTGAGTTAAGACTCCATGGGCTGTCCCGTTTTCAGTATTCACAAAAAGATAAAATGGTTTTCGGATATCAGGCAGACTTAATACTGGAGCATTTATTAGATCTTCTTTTAATCCTCTTAATTGTTTCTCATCTTCTTGATTCCATTTGATTAATCCGTCTTTTGTTAATTTTTCATATAAAAACTTAACTTTACTACTATAGTTTTCGATCCATTGTCGGCAGTACCCCAATAATCCTAATATTTGCCTTATCTGTCTTTTATTTTTAGGTGCCTGTAAAGACAGAATTCCATTTATTCGTTCGGGATCCAATCTCTTGTGTCCTTTACTTAACCAATGTCCTAGATATTTAACTTCCTCTTCAGTAAATTGTAACTTTGATTTTGAGACCTTTAATCCTTTTGAACTCAAAAAGTTTAATAATCTAATGCTCTCCTCTCTAACTGTCTCTGGGTTCTCCCCCGCAATTAGTAAGTCATCTACATATTGGATTAGCACAATACCTTGGTTTGTTTCAAAAGATTCCAATAATTGTTCTAAAGCTTGTCCAAATAAGTTGGGGGACTCTGTGAACCCCTGGGGTAAGACGGTCCATCTTAATTGTTGCCTTCGGTGGGTTTCAGGGTCTTCCCATTCGAAAGCAAAATAGTCTCTGCTTTCTTCCTTAAGGGGACAAGCCCAGAAGGCATCTTTCAAGTCTATTACACTGTACCATTTATGGTTGGGGGTGAGTTGATTCAGTAAAGTATATGGGTTAGCAACAACTGGAAATCGGGTGACTGTTCTTTTATTTACTTCTCTCAAATCTTGTACTAATCGATAAGTTCCATCAGGTTTTCTTACTGGTAAAATAGGGGTATTATGTGGTGACATACAAGGCTCCAATAGTCCCTGTGTGATAAGCCTTTCTATAATAGGTTTTAATCCCATCCTTCCTTCATAGGAAATAGGATATTGTTTTACTCTTATTGGTTCCTCAGGATTTTGAATATCAACTTCAAATGGTTTTATATTTAGTTTTCCCACAGAGTCTGGAGTATACCAGACTTCAGGGTTTATCTTTTCCATATCTTCAACTGTAAGGGTATATAACTTAACTTGTAACCCATGTTCTTTTGCTTCCAAGCCTATTCCTAATTCAATCATTAAATCTCTTCCCAATAAATTATATTCTGCTTCAGGGACTAACAAGAATGATCCTACAGCATACTTCTTAGGAGTCTCTATTTCTACATTTTTAATAAGGGGTACCTTAAATGGTTCTCCTTTTGCTCCTATAACTTGTACTGAATCTGAGGATTCTACACAGCCCCAAGGTACCTTCTGAACAGTCGATCTCTCTGCTCCAGAGTCTATTAAGAACTCAATCTCTTGTTGCTGGGGACCTAATTTTAGTTTTATCAAGGGCTCTGTATTTGTCCTGGTCCCCAGCAAATAGAGCCCCTGACACCCCTAATCCTCTTTAAATACTTGCTCATCCCGCATGCGCTTCCTGCAATGTCTTTTTATATGTCCTTTCTTGTGGCAGTAATAGCATTCTGCTTCTGTCTGACCTGTCTGTTTTTGATTATTTGGGACTGCTC